TATACAGTATCAGGATACCAAAATCAAATATAGTGATACCTCGGAATATACAATAGGGGGAAGAACATACAAAAAATGACAAAAAATCACATAGTACATTAAAAACAACAACAACAAAGGAAAACTTCTGGTGGCCATGTCTTGGAGTTCATTTTGCTTAGTATCATCTTATATAGTCATATGTACATAGTCTTTTGAGAAAACTCCACACACCTTTCCAGCATGGTTGATCAAGTTTACATTCCCAACCAACAATGTATTAGCATTCCCTTTGCCCACATCTTCATCAGCATCTGTTATGATTAGTTTTCTTGATCATGGCTATTCTAACTCAGGTGAGGTAGAATCTCAATGTTGTTTTGATGTTCATTTCTTTTATGGCAAGAGAGGTATTGAACATTTCTTAATGTGTCTATCAGCCATACTTATTTCCTCTTCAGAGAAGTCTCTCTTTAAGTCTTTTTATTAATTGAATAGTTGTTTCTTTGATCGTTTATTTGTGGTAGTTAATTTTTTGAGCTCTCAGTATATTTTAGAATGAGGTTCTTGTGTGGTTGTTCATAGCTAGTAAAAATCTGTTTTCTATACCTTTTGTCTTACATATAAGTTTATCTGTTTTAGCACATGTAAAGGGAGGGGCCCAGAAATGGTGGGACAAAGGGTAAAGAAACGCAGCAGTGATACTCACTATACACTACACTGAAAATGAACTGCATGACTTACGTGGGGGTGGTTAGGATGGAAAAATTGGAAGAAAGTGAGGGAAGGGGTGACACTCTTCAAAAAGTAGTGTACTCATAACCTGAGCTATTTAAATGTAGCCCCTTTTGCATCCTTTTTACAATAACAATAAAAATTAGCAAGTGCTTCTTATGCAGTATTAATAGGAGTGCAAACTAAAACAGGAATCATGATAAAACAGTACTGATGTCCCACACAAAATTAAAAATGGGCCTATTAAATGGTTCGTATAACTTACTACTAGGAATATATCTGAAATGAAAATTTTATAGCAAGGAGATCCATGCACCTCTACTTATATTTATGACTTTTTTCACAATAGCTTAACACTTGGAATGAAAGAAGGTATCTACTTCCATAAAAATTAATAAAGAGACAATGGTGAATATTCATGCCAATATAGTACCCTGCTTTAAAATTTTAACTATATATTTTATAGCAACAATGATTCTTGCTTTTCAAACACTTAAAGTTTTCTTGTATCTTTTTAACCCTTAAGTCTATGACTTTAAAAAATATGAGGATTACAGCAATCATGGTATAACATGGCATATCGAATCACATAGACATTTGTTTCATCTACTCCGGGGTACCAGGGAAGTTCAGTGAAGATGATTGGCTTGACTAATTTGTTCTAAATGCAGAACTTGATCTGTAGATCGGCAAAATCAAATGAGAGGAAAGAAAACTTAGTCTCTACTGACTTGGACATGGGAGATCAATTAGAGTAAGCTGAAAATTCCAAAAGCTTTATAAGTATATGCTTATTAAACAGAGGAAACTGTCTTCTGTCTTTCATAGAAGCTTGTATTTGTACACAGGAATGGTAAGGAAGATATTTTATCTACTCCATTCATTTGCAAGCAATTCAAGAAGGTTGGTGAAATGATGATTTTTGTTTTTCTGTTTTCAACATAAAGATAAAGACTAGTAGTGGGAACAATGAGCAATTTATATCACAACCCATTCTTTTGAATCTCTAGGAATTTTGGTAAGTAAGAAATTTCTTTTTTTTGGATTTATCATTTTATTAAGCTCAATAAAGATTACGTTGTCCTAACAACTTAATAAAATTTCTAACATTAGAGTTCAGTTTTTGTTGTTGTTGTTGAAATTTGTGTTGATAAATGACATGAAGTTCCCCCCGCCCCATCAGATGATGTGATCACAGTCTATGCTGGACCTTGAAAAGAATTCTATGGATCATTGTCTGGGAATTGTGCCCTTATAAAGCAACTACCTCAAAGTACAAACTGGCTAACTTTGAACCAGGTGAGACCAAATGAAATTACAGAGCTAAGCTGGTTTATCCATTTGAAGGTAGGGTTTTCCTGTTACATAAGTTCCCATCCTTGATGAATAAAGGAATTGAAATTCCATAACAAACTAGAAAATAAGAGTAAATAAGTTGGTTGGGAACCCACTAGAATTCCACCATAGTTTGTTGTTGAAGGTTGTGAACTTCACTGAAATACTAAATATCATTACATCTAATACTTGTCAATAATTAAGGTATCGATTAACAATGTCAACCAAAACGTTTGAAGACCTGCTAAATGCTGATTGCAGAAAGAGTGAAAGGTCAGTTCTGTGTTTCCAGATGTCCTTAGGCATTGTACAGATTTTGCAACATGTGACTCAGGTAAATAATGTGCTAAAGGCTTTGTAAAACTCATATATTATGCTCATTTTAAATTTTGATTAACTTCTTAATTTTGTAAAAATCTTCCATTTTCTATACAAGATCTTGCCAATTAGTGCCTTTTGTTAAAAACATTGTCAGCAAATTTCACCAGTAAATCTCATCAGAAATTCATCAGAAGAACTAATGTTAGTAAGCTTCATCTGGTGTATTAACTCAGACCTATCCCCAATAAACAAAGCAATGGTCATGGATAGACATTGACTTTCAGCTCTGATCCTAGTGTTTCAGACCTGTCAGTTTTCTTTTCTAGGTGTACAGAAACCTAAAGTTTTCTAATATCCTCTATTAGCTCTTATAACTTGAGAAACTTCTACTTAGGAAAGAAAATAGGTGTCAGTGGCCATCATCCAAACACCTTTATAGTTCTCTGGATTCTGGTCCAAGTGGTAATTAATCTAAATGAAGACTGGCTCTTCCTTCAACAAGATTCAGCAATGGAGATGTAAAAACAGAAGACCCTTGTGTGAAAAAGATATACTATTGGAAACGTACCACTTTCAGGACTACTGCGATCTTCTTCCTGATGATACTTGAATGAAATAAAGGATGTAAAGACAGACAGAACATCTTTTTTCAGTTGTGAAATATTCTGAGACATATAATGATACATACAGAGAACTTCTATTCTTTTCAATTCCACTAGAGAAAGAACAGTGGGCCAATTTCAAGGAACATAGCGCTTTATGGCGTAGAAAATTGAGTTCCAGTTATTCCCCTATTCTGGATAAGTAACCAACTGTCCAGGTCTGCCTCAGCCAAAGAAGCTATCAAGGATGTACAACCGATGTATAATCCAAGTATATCCTCATCTGGACTAATTTCCTCCTCACTGGCATACAACTTGTGCTTCAACACATAAACCTTAATCAAAAGCAACCTCAGATCAGGTCTTCCTGATGACTTCTTTCACTAAACACCAAACTCTAGTCTGTTTTTCTTTCTACTCAAATGTCCCTATACCCTGTCACACATACACTCTTGTCATGGTTGCTTTCATTGTTGTTGTCCTCATAAACTTTCTCCTCATCGTGGGTAAAATATTCTTAACCTGCATCCAACCTCTATATAGAAGATAAAAGGTTGTTATAATCCCACTGCCATCTTATCCTCTAACCCCATTCCAGCATCTTATAAAAGGCAGTCATTCACTGTGTGTTTATTTTAAATTTTATGTACCATTCTATTATTTATTTGACTAGACATTATGGAACCTCATTTATTTTAATGATCATTCATGCCACTCCACAGCAGTATTTCCAATTAAGAAAAGAAATATATTTAAAAGTAATTATTTCATCCTATTTATTAATTAATGTTTATATTTATGTAATATTTGTTCATATATGTCCAGTCATAAGTTTATTAATTTCTAATATGTTTTAAGAAACAAAGGATGCCTTTGATCTATGTTCAATGTTTTGCTGCCTCTTGCTTGTTCCTATCTATGTCTCTCACACTATCAGCAATTATTGATTAGGCAGCTGTAATAATACATACACATTTGATAAACAGTCATGATTGGATTCATACTCACAACATTTATATGAAATTCCAGATGATTTCTGTGTTTGCTATATTCACCACATACTTTAACTTTCAATTGTAATGCTAGTTGTAGTGCTGTATATCTAAAATGGAAGTTAAAAGTCGATATGAAAATTAGCATGAAGTATTTCCTTGCATGTAGGAAAGAGAAATGTATTTAACATGGTTTCTAACTAATGTAATTTCCACCAGGCACACAAAATGTAAACAACATTAGGCAAAAGAGCATATTCAAATTTTGAAAAACAGGGAGGCTGTTACTGGGCATAAAATATCTCTACTATTCAGACAGTCATTTTGTGTGATAGGCAGACTTTCAAGAACTGATCAAAATTCCTTTGAAATAATGGAGGTGGAGAATATAACTTATCTTCTGGAGTAGTAAGGGTGGGGAGGGTGGACCAGAAAAAAAAGGTTGGGAAAGAGTAAATTAAGATGACATTAAAAAGGTAAGCACACTACTCAATATTTCTGAGTAATTTTTGTGAGCTCCCATTGTATGTATGTTGTGTTAAGTTGTGGCATTGTGAAATGTGAGAATCCTTGAAGTTCTTAGGAAGTAAGATTTGTTCATTAATTCTGGGTAAGGATTTTGTCCAGGAAGATGGATAGAATTCTTTAGCTAACATATTTCTGCTTACTGTGTGTGATTTGCTTCACTAGGGCCAGAGGTAAAAATGGTGGGGGAGAGTAGTTTTGGAGATGGGAGGGAAGGGATGGGAAGGGGAAACAAAGGAGGAGGCAACAATGCATGATAAGAAAGGTACTCATTACTTGCTCATGTAACTGTAACCACTTTGTACAGTATTTTCACAACACAAACTTGTTTTTAAAAGAATAATTCAGTTCTAATGTAAAATCAATTCAACCTAAGCTGCAGTACTGATAGAGAAATATTTTTTTCTACAGAATCTCATAAGAGATTTGCTTTTTTGGTTCCTCTGCTCAGGTTCATGCAAATTTGTGGTGACTGTTTTCATCTTTTAGGGAATATAAGGAAAACATTTCAATGGAGAAATGCAATCAAACTTCAAGTGACTTCATTCTGTTGGGGTTGTTGCCTCCAAACCAAATAGGGCTCCTTCTCTTGTTCCTCATTATCCTTCTGTTCTCTTTTACTTTGTTTGGTAACTCAGGAATGATCTACCTCATATATAAGGATCCCCGGCTCCACATCCCCATGTACTTTCTCCTCAGCCAGCTTTCTCTCATGGACTTAATGTCTATCCCAACCATTGTCCCCAAGATGGCATTCAACTTCCTCTCTGGCCAAAAGAGCATCTCCTTCCTTGGATGTGGGGTGCAAAGCTTCCTCTTTTTGACTATGGCAAGTGCTGAAGGCTTGCTGCTGGCATCCATGGCCTATGACCGCTTTGTGGCCATCTGCCAACCGCTCCATTATCCCATCCGTATGAGTAAAAGGGTATGTGTGAAAATGATCATGGGATCATGGATACTGGGCTCTCTCCACTCTTTGGCATACACAGCATATGCCCTTCATCTTCCTTACTGCAGATCTAGGGCCATCAACCATTTCCTCTGTGACATTGCAGCAATGGTACCTCTGGCCTGTATGGATACATGGATTTATGAATACATGATTTTTATGAGTACTTGCCTGTTCCTCCTCTTCCCTTTCCTTGGAATCACTGCTTCCTATGGACGTGTGCTTTATACAGTCTTTCATATGTGCTCACAAGAGGGAAGGAAAAAGGCCTACACCACATGTTCGACACATTTAACTGTGGTAACATTTTACTATGCACCTTTTTTCTTCACTTATTTTCAGCCTTCTCATCTTCGCTCTGCTACTGGGGATAAGATTCTGGCTGTGTTTTATACCATTCTCACCCCAATGCTCAACCCCATCATCTACAGCCTGAGGAATAAAGAAGTCCTGAGGGCTATCTCAAGAGTTCTTGGCATGTTCTCTTCTATCAGAAAATAATCGTTCAATCTCATACTTTTTGTTCTTTTTATTTTCTTTTTATTTGTAAAGACTCAGGACTTGAAATCAGTGTCTTACACTGTCTATGATAATACAATATGGCTGAGTAATAAATACAGCCATGCTTTTCAACTTTTTTCATGCTTTTTTAACTTTATTGTATCACTTCCTGTGTAACAATATACTTGAGCCATGAGATGACTATTACAGACATTCTACTGTTATTTTCTCTTGAATCTCAGGCAAGCTCTATTACATCAGGGTTCCATGCATTCACAGTGTGTTATAGGACTGTTCTTCTAGGGCGAACCTGAATTTATGAACCACTTTTATCAACTGCTCATGTAGCTTGGGATGAGAAATGCACACCACTGTGCTGAACTGGCCAAAAAACTCATCTCAAAAGATTTCTTTCCACTCAAGTAGGTAGGATGAGCCACAGGACTATGCAGGTGAGCCACTAGTACCCACTTGCTACTGTAGTTTATTACCCATATGTGTGTTGACCAGGGCATTTTATAACAACACTAGTGAAAATATACTGTGAGCCACATATGCAACTTTAAATTTTTCTATTAATGTATTTTAAATAGTTTTATTGTCATTGTAAAGGTGATGTACAGAGGGTTTAGAGTTACATAATCATGTCATGAGTATCTATCATCTATCTATCTATCTATCTATCTATCTATCTATCTATCTATCTATCTATCTATCTATCTATCTATCTATCTATCTGTATGTTTTTAAGTGTCACCTCTTTCCTGGCTTTTTCTGATTCTCCCTCCCGCCCACCCCCCCAACAAATTGTATAGTTTATTTTCAATATAGTTTCTAGTGAGTATCACCACCATATTTGTTCACTACATACAAGACAAAAGGTGAGAGTGGGGCGCTGGTGGCTCATGGCTGTAATCCTAGCTACTCAGGAGGCTGATATCTGAGGATCAATGGTTCAAAGATAACCCAGGCAGGTAAGTCCATAAGACTCTTATCTCCAATTAGCCATAAGAGAACCAAAGTGGTGCTGTAGCTCAAGAGGTAGAGCACTAGCCTTGAGCTGAAGAGCTGAGGGACAGCACCCAGGTCCAGAGTTCAAGTCCCATGACTAAAATAAAGAAAGAAAGAAAGATAGAAAAGGACAAAAAGTGAAGAAATAAAAATTGTGGCAAAGGAGAAAAAAAGCAAAATAACAAAAAAGCTATTGTTTCCATTTCTTGGGGTTAATTTTTATAAACATCATTTATATGACCATGTGCACATAGCCACTGAGCCTTTGTGGTCCTCTGCTAAGTATATCCTCTTTTGTACTCACTTTGGGAATGTTTAACGTCCCATATAATTCACAATGTATGAGTATAATTTTGTCTTTCACTATTCAGTGTCTTTACTTAGGGGTTTATAAGCACATTCTAGTCATAACAAATGAGGGAAACCACAAAACCTATGTTTCTTTGGGTTTGGCTTACTTTGCTTAATACAATTTTTTTAAAGCCTTTCTATTTCCTTACAAATGGTGCAATATCATTCTTTCTTTTCAAGAACTTTAGAAAGCAGTATGTGGAGGTTCCTGAAAAGTTTAAATATAGAGCTTCTCCATCACCCAAGAATTTCAATCCTGGGCATTTATCCAAAAGACTACAAAAAAAGGCCACATTAAAGCTAGTAGCACATCCAGGTTAACTGCGGTGTTGTTTATCATATGGAATTAATGAATATTAATCCAAATGGCCCTCAGTGAATGAATAAATCAAGAAAATGTGATATATATACACAATGTAATTCTAGTAACATATTTTAAATTTAAATACTTTGTGAAAAGTACTTTATTTCTTGTGTATACCAATGGTTTTAACACATCTATTTAATTCTAATCATTATAATTAATATAACATGAATTATGTTTATGCATGCTTATATATCATGAATTATATATTAGTGTTTCTGTACACCAAAATATACATGGACGATCACTTCAACAAATGCAGGCAAAACTGGATATCTAAATACAGAAAGCTAAAATTAGAAGTTCCATGTCCAGAAAATAAAAACAGATAAAATATCCTAATGCAGCACTGGGAAAGTTAAAATTTCTAGAAGAAAATATATCTTTAAAACTTATGGTGTAGTAAGATATAGATGGTATAAAATTGGAAATCAGTTTTTAAATGTTGATCTGTATTTGGGCTAAATATATTCAAGAACATAATATTCTACAGAATTGAACAGAATCCAATAATCTTACCATATAATTGACCTTAAAGTCAAGGTACAATAACATATGCCTTATAGTGTATTGGAATTCTGAATTTTGTAGTATTACATAATGTATTAAATCCATTTTAAATATTTTCACTTTGGTGTATTTTTTTGTCATAGGTATACTGTAAGTATAAGAATTATAATTTGTGGAGGGGAAGGGAAAAAACAAATCGTTTAAATAGGGATACAGGTGGACCCATTGCAACAATGAGACATATAAGTTGTTATGTCAAAAACGAACTTTACAACTTTGGTAGGGGGTGGGGAGGAGGGTTGGGTAGCGGGTTGGGAGGAGAATGGGATGGGAAGGGGAAACAAAGGAGGAAGCTACAATGTTTGATAAGAAATGTACTCATTATCTTGCCCATGTAATTGTAACCCCTCTGTACAGTATTTTCACAATAAAAAATAAAAAAAAGGATCATTTATACTTACAAAATGAAATTAAAAATACATACGTATGAAATATAGTTTTATGTATGTATGTAAATGAATCTAATAATATAGGCATTAGTAAGTAATTATATGAGCATCGCTTATGAGAAAGGAAACAAACATGTATCAAGCCACCTGTATGAAAAATCATAGTAATATTTTCCTACATAGTCAAAATAGAAATACCATCAACTTTGGAATGAATAAATGAATGCATTTATATAAAAGATTATATAAAACAATAAGCTGACAAAGATATAGTAATACTGTTACACAACTCAAATACTTATACCAAAAGGAGGAGGCAACAATGCTTGATAAGAAATGTACTCATTACCTTACCTATGTAATTGTAACCCCTCTGTACAGAATTTTCACAATTAAAAATAATAAAGCAACTAATGAAAGACCTGCAATAAATGTGAGAAAAATTAATTTGATCTTTATGACTTCAACTTATATTCAATAGGATTATCTATTGGTTTGAGGCATTTATTAATTTGGAAATGTATTTTAAAATGCCCAGAGGTTCCTTGTTTTACAATCAACTACAATTATGTGGAAGGTGAGGTAAATGTTTTAAAAGCCCTTATGACTTTAGGTGCAATAGATTGAAATGGTTGTAAACCTTGAAATGCACAAACGCATTGTGAGAAAGTCATGCAATAAAATACTACGGGAACAAAAATGAAAGATGATTTAAATATATCTTCAAAAGACAAAACTTAAAAGAATATTGATACTGTTGAATAAGCTATCAACATTAACCAATGGTGTGAAAGTGATTTTAAAAGGTTAAAATTGAAACAAGAAAATATTGCTAGTATATATGATAGTAATTACAAATAGGCAAAAGAAAAAAATTATTTGGAAATTGTCTTGAAAGACACTCCTGGAAATAATGACACTATTCTGTATTTTTTAAGATGTTCAGGTTACCAGCTTTCTGTTTATTTTCGTGTTTTCACTGATAGGGATGGTACGCAGGGCCTCATGCATGCTAGGCAAGTGTTCTATCACTGAGCTTCATCCCCAGCCTTCCTTTCCTTTAATTTGGTTTAATAAACACTTTTTAAATGGTGGTCTATTTTTTGGGGGGGTCCAATCGTGGGGCCTGAACTCTGGGCCTGGGCACTGTCCCTCAGCTCTTCAGATCAAGGCTAGCGTTCTACCCCTTGAGCCACAGCACCACTTCCGGCATTTTTCTTTTTGCTTATATGGTGCTGAGGAATTGAACCCAGGGCCTCATGCATGCAAGGCAAGTGCTCTTCCACTGAGCCACCTTCCCAGCCCCACTATTCTGTATCTTAAACTAGTAGATGTTTATACATTGCTCAGTTTGTAACATTGCCTTCCATACTTTTCAAATGAAGATACATTTAATGACTCATAGAGATGCCTGAAATTGCAGAAGTTCCCTATCTTCGTACATACTAGTTTTTCATATATACATTATAATTAATGAAGTACAATTCAAGAATTTAGTAGATAAAGATACTGGCAATTGTAACATGCATTATAGTACTGATTATTGTTTCTATTCTCATTAAGACAATAACATTCTTCTTTTCTATTAAAAGAAGCATATTATAAATTTAAATATATACATTACAAACTAACTGGTTTAGAACTATTATTAAATAAAATACTTAGTAATTACCAAACAATCATTGGGATGTTCTTGTGATCACTAAGATATCTACTAAGTGACTAAAGGGGGGGTAGTATATATGATGTGAAGGCAGTGAATGAAGACACAATTAACATCCCAGTTGGACAGAGTGACCAGTGTAATGTTTTATCACACTATTTAGTTTTATTATTTTTTTCATTTGCTTAGACATCCAAGAAAGTTACTTAACAACATGATACTTTTCATGAAAATTACAAATTTATCATGCTAGTTAAATTACGTAGGAGGAGTATTGGGACAATCATCCTAAAATACAGCATTCTGTCAATTATGATAAATGGAAGGAACATATAGAGTAGTCTGCAAAGGACTTTACTTACTGTGATCTTTCCTTGTCTGTGTAAATTAGGGACTATGGGAAGAAAATAAAGAAAGCTAACCCCCTCTCCCTTTTCTTCATATTGCTTTTTTTTTTTTTTCCGGTCAGTTGTGGGGCTTGAACTCTGGGCCTCGGCACTATCCCTCAGCTCTTCAACTCAAGGCTAGTGCTCTACCACTTGAGCCACAGTGACACTTCCGGTTTTCTGAGTGGTTTTTAATTGGAGATAAGAGTCTCACAGACTTTCCTGCCTGAGCTGGCTTTGAACCATGATCCTCAGATCTCTGCCTC